ATCTCCCCCAATGTCACAGTAGGCACTCAGTAAATATCTTTTACAAGAATTGAGATTCCCAGGGCCGCTGGGTGGCACAGTGGATAGAGTTCTGGCCTTGGAGTTAGGAGGACCTGAGTTCAAATCCAGCCTCAGACACTTGACACTTACTAGCTGTGTGACCTTGGGCAGGTCACTTAACCCCAACTGCCTCACCAAAAAAAAAAAAAAAAAAAGAATTGAGATTTCACAAACTCTCTAGCTATGGTATTTCTATTCTATTAAGTAAGGAAAAGTGGAAGAAAGGAACAAGCATTTATTAAACGCCTACCCTGTGCCAGACCCTGTGCTAAGTGCTTTATAATTATTATTTCATTTGATCCTCAAAACAGCTCTGAGAGGTAGATGCTATTATGATTCCCATTTTACAGATGAAGAAACTAAGACAGACAGAGATTAAGTGACTTTTCCAGGGTTGTAGAGCTAGTTAGAGTCTTGAGGACAAATTTGAACTCGAGTCTTCCTGGTAGAGCCCAGTGCTGCCTAGCTACCCAGGACAGAGACATCATGGTACAATGAAAAGAGCACTGGATTTGGAGTAAAAAATTAATCTGCGTTCAAATCCCAGCTCTGCCACTTACTAATTGTGTGACCTTAGGCAAATTACTTAATCTTTCTGGGCCTCAGTTTATCTGTAAAATAAAGGAGTTGAATGAGATAACTCTTACAGTCATTCCAACATCAACTTATGGTCCTTTGGTTTCCCGGGGGGGAACAAAAGAGAGAATAACCATTCTTTGTTCCTTGCTTGTCACAATTATTTGCACTGGGCAAACTGATATGCCTAAACCTGGTCATAAAATTATTCAACTTCTTTACCTAGTCCCCCTCCCACCATAAGGCAATAGAGACAAACGGCTTTTTGGTAAGTGAATCACCTCCCTTCTTCTAGAATCAGCCTCTCTTGATACTTAGGAGTTACCCAGAGATTATGAATAGACAGATAAAATAAGGGGTGATGAATGATAATAAGATATAAGACTGGTAAGCAACAAACTCAAAAATGTGAAGGTTGCAGAATGATTTCTTCTGTAGATAACTATTTCCTATTGCTCATTTGGTTGCTAAGCCCACTGTTGGTTTTTTCCCCCTCTCTGCTAAACTGTGAAACTGCATATGTATGCACAAAATCTATGAGTTGAAATCACTCATTTGCCATTGCTATGGTAGGCTTGACTGTCATTAAATCACATTCTTTGTTTTCTAAGCTTAGATAGCTGGAAAGGAACTGTAACCATTTACCTGAAAACTGACATACATGAAACATCTCAAAGAGGCAGAGAATACTATAAAGCTGGGGGGGAAAGTATTACCTACAGTTATAAATTAAAGCTATTTGAAAAGTAAAGTACTTCATATGCACAGATTGGGAAAAAATCATCTCTGCATAGTGAAATGCCTTCTACCATCAAAAGAAATTATTTATGATTCTTGTATATACCTCATTGAATCTTAACACAGAGAGGCAAATGAGGAACTTTAAAATACTCTTATTTTAAAAAAAGAAAAAAAGAGAGAAAGTTCACCAGGAAGAAGCAATGTACTAGATGTAACAATAAATGGTATAGACGGAGAATTCTCCGGTTTTTTTTTTTTTTTTGAGACTTCGTTTCCCTAACTCTCCTGACCTGAAGTACAATCCATCCCATTGCTGATGAGTGTGGGAAGCTTTAACCCGCTCTGTTTCTCACCTGGGCCAATTCCCCTAGTTAGGCAATCTGGTAGCTCCTCTCTCTCAGAGGTTCACCATATTGGTGCCAGACTTGATGTGGACATTCCATTGGCTTAGTCCCCTGCAGCTCAGAGCTCCCAAACTCAAATGATCCACCAGCAGAAGAGGACATTATAGGCATATGTCATCATGCCCAGCAAAAAATTCCCAAGAAACATACTGGGATATGGTAGCAATACTGCTGTCACTCATAGTTCTCAAAATGCTTTAGGAAAACACACTTACTAATCCTTACACCAGCTACCTAAGTGTAGATAGGTAACAGTAGATAGGTAGCAACACTATAGCTGTAGCAACACTACACAACTGTTGTCTTTATATTGATTCCCAGCAACCCATTCCTCAAAAACAAGTTCAAATTCGGGTAAGAAAAAAAATGACCAAAGAATTAATTAATGAAATAGGAGAGATTAATGTAAATAAAGGAAACAATTATCATATCAAAATATAAGACAAGAAAGTTGATTAAGTGAAGCTTCAAAAGACCTGTGAGAAACTCATGAAAGCCATAATATGCATTTACCTGGTTTTTATTCTTTCATGATTTAATTTTCAATTTTATTCACTATCATCTGATAATTGCATGAAACAGTTACTCTAACCATGGGCAATTTAAACAATTTAAATTTTTATTTCAAGGCCATGAGACAAAAGAACCTATTTATTGCCTGAGGGGATTTTTACAAAAATGAAAGCTTAATCTTTCATGTTTTTTAAGCAAAGGCTGTTTAAAATCATTTATAATAATGCTTTAGGGAGACTTTTCCTGGGCATGCAAAATTGAAATTACAAATTTAAAATTATTAAAAAAATTAATAGTTTGGGGGATTGCATTGTCCCTCTCCTTTCTGGATGAATTTTGCTGCAGCTTAAGAAGTGGTATTAAAAAAAAAACAAACCCAGTAACAGCTTTAAAACTACAGAATCCTCAGGGGGACTGAAAAAAAAAAGAGGTCACAATGCCATTTAACAGTTTCACTGGGTCATCTTAATGGTAAAGTCTTTAGCCCTGTTTATTTGTTTTTTTAACATAAATAATGGCATTAACCTCAAGAGCTGTTTCAAAGTGGAATATTTTATATATAATCTCCTGGACTCACTGGAGATCCATGAACACTACCAACCACATTTTCTGGGGCTTTGACTCAGCCCCTGATGGAAATTAGACAAACAATTTACATTCACTTAAACACCACATTTTTTAGTTACACTTAAGAAAAATAATTGAAATGCAGATTTAAATTGCTTCTGCTACTATAGCTCAGTTTTAATGGGAAATACTTTCAGCTATTATAGAGGGCTTTCCTACACAAAGGAGAGAAAAAAAAAATCACTTGCAATAATACTCCAGTTAACAGAATACACAGAAGGGTAGAAAAATTACTTTGAGGTTAAAGTGAAGGACATTTTACCAGAGTGGTTTTTCAGTTAATGAGAAGAGAAGGAAGGGAAAACATTTTCCTTTTGCTGTCATCTTCAGGAAAAAGACACGGTCAAAAAAACACAACCACCATCAAAATTCCTTTCTAGCTCAGTTCTTCTTGATAAGAGAGTTGTTAGGTAGGGTCACTAAATATTTAAGTATCATCCCTTTTGGATGATAGCTACCTTATGCTGTGGAGTGAAATGAACAAAAGAAAATGGCCTTGGAAAGGGGTGTCTCAGGTCATAGAAGACTTAGAACATAGAAGGATCCTAAGATGACTTGAACTAGAATATATTATCTATATATAGAATATATATAGAATATAGTATCTATACTGGTGATTCTTAATCTTTAAAGAACTGTGGTTGTCTTTTAGTATTGATTCTGATTCTCTCAACCTTCAGGCAATAAATAGGCCAGGATCTTCTCTTCCCAAGGATGCTACAGAATAAAATAAAGCATGCTGGGATGACTGAAACAACTCAACAGTCAGAAGAGTTTTTGTTTTTTTTTAAAAAATTTTTGTCTCCTCTTTAAAAGGAATCACAGCATGATCCTGTCAGCCTTGTCTCCACCCTGGGCTGCTATTCTGGGCACAAAAGGGGATGAAGCTACACTTAAAGGTCTAGAAAATTCAGGAAGGAGAAAAAAGTGAGAACTTTGGGGATATTTATGTAAACTTCAGTGTCTGAGCAGCAGGTACGTCAGCATATAACTGGTACTATAACCAGGATATGAGGAAAAAAGGGCATTTCCTTTTATGATAAAGGGACAAAGTTTTTGAGGAAAAAAACTTATAAAGCTACATTTGAATATATTTCTGTGGTGCTGATGAATGCTGATGAAGTTTTACACTCACAAACTCTCATAGATAAACAGAATAAGTATTTGGATTCCCTGAACAAGTCGCTAAATCTAAGTTATTTTAGGCTTTTTTTTTAAGATTCCCTTTTAACTCAGAAATCTGAGCTCCTATGATCCTATTATCCCCATTATAGAGAGACAGGAAACTCAGGCTCAGAGAGGTTAAAGGATATGACCACAGTCATGTGGCTGAATCCGGATTTGAACCCGGGGCTTCTAACTCTAAATGCATTGCTCTTTTATTACTCCACAATAGACTTTACTACATCAAACCTGGAAGGTTGGGCTGGTGTGGGAATCACATTGGAATAATTGAGCTCTTACAACAGAATAAAGAAATGGGAAATGATTTTTTTTCTTAAAAAATTATCTGACATACTGAAAAGTATGACCATCTGAATCTGTACGAGGAATTTTAAAGATAGAAAGGAAGGACAACTGGGGCAAATTTAAGGAGAAGAACCTAATATATAGATAATCAATAGTTCAGTTTTTAAAAAAATGGGATTTAAATAAAGCTTTCTGGGGGTGGGGGGAAGGTATATTCAGAAAGGATAGTATGTTCTATAGAAGCACCTTGGGGCAATGAGAGACAATACTCTTACACTCTGGTTCTCAGTTAATGCTATGAATCTTTGAATTTATAAGCTCCTAACCTCTCCCTCCTGTGTATACCTTCCTCTTTAAGATTTTTTGGGGAAAAACCCAACTCAAACTTTGTTTCTTAAAACAAATGAAAACACAGCCATCCATTCCCATGTGGTTTCTTAGCCATGCACCAGAAATACCCATCCTGGGATAAGTGAGCGGACAACATTTGTTTATGGACCGATGGAGGGTCTTTGCCTTGCA